AAAGGTATAGTAAAAACTTGTCTTTTATATCTAATAACAAATTCGACCTTCTTATGTCAACATAGAAGCTAATCAAAAGATTTGAAACGTTCACAACAAATCACTAACGTTAAGCCCTGTCTTTACATCGAGTTTCAAGTCACAATTCGAAAATCAATTTTTCTGAAGAGGAACTAATGCATTCGTTTAAAAACTACCGTAGATTTGTAATATGTCTGTAGCTTATTTAATTCGATATGATGTACATAGTTTCAACTCAAAAGCGATTAATTAGTTGGGAGGAACTTTCCTCGAAAGATCTCTAAATCAAAAATTCATACTCATACCCTTTGTGTCAATTTTGGTTTTTTCGAATCTTTCAAATAGAATGGATTCATTTGTTCACTTTGTTTTCTTGATTCTCGTTGTTTTTCTAATTCTTCAGCAGTTGGTTCAATATATTTTTTTGATTTTTGATAACTTAATGTAACACCGGAATACAAATTAGAATTATAATTTTCTCCATTATCACCATAAAATAAATCTTTATTATCATAATGTGAACTTGTTGTTATTGATTCATCTTCACTATCTGATGGAGGATCATTTATCCAAGCATTCAAATCCAAACTAGAATATAATCAAATCCAAAAAAAAAATTTATCAAACAAATTTTATTTTACCCATTTGATACAACAACTTTTCTTTGAGCTTTAGCAGCAACTGGATTAAGAACACAATCAAATAATGCTGATAATTCATTAACACTAAATTCAGATTTTTCAATTAATTTTAATGTTGTTTTAAGAATATGTAAAATAACACTTGCCTAAATAAATAATTTCTTTCTTTTTTATATTTGATATTTCGAGCTATTGGCAAAAGACATCTGAAGATTTATATTATGATTATTTTTATAGCATTTTTCATGAACTTTTCAAGTTCAATTAGTTTCGATCAATATTTTCAAAAGAGCAACTTCTCAAAATTCTATGACGTATATCAGTTGTCTGATGCATAAAAAAATCTACAGTATATTTGAGCAAATAGATTCTTTCTAAAAATAATTTTGTAAACTTTGGATAGCTGATGTTGATTAATTGTGATTTATCTAGCCTCTTTCATTCGAAAGATTTTTGACAAATAGTTACTATTTATGGATTGTGTTTAGAACTAAACAATCGATGTAAAACTTTGAAAAATGTATAAGTTTTAACTTGTATTATTTATTTGAACCTTCACCAATTCGAAAAATGAGTGATCATAGTAGAAGCCAATTAGGACAGGTCTATATCGGAGGTTATATTTGGGACAATGGATATTCACAAGGGTTTGGATCCGTATGCTATGCATCCAATTTAAGTTTGGTGATGACATACTCAATCCGATAGTAAATTCAAATTTAAATAAAAATGTGGGAAAAAATTACATTATTCACCAGTCGTTATTTTTTAGTTCTAATGAAGCAGAAGGATCTTCAGTAAATACAAACGGCCTGTAGTATATAGAGTAAATATATAGCGCTGAATAACTATATAACATCTAATGAATATCATTAAAACTTCAATTTGAAACATACGTTTTATTTATATTATTTTATCTATTTGGTAATAGCTATTGCAAGACGGCTACTCATTCGCAATTAGAATTCAAAGTGTAATTAAATGCAGATTCATAGTAGATTTATTGCTAGCTACAACCTAGATTCAGATATCATAAATCGCTTTTATCGCCAGGCTGTCCATTGTGTGGGTAGGCGCCTGAATATTAGGTGAAAAAATGAAAATCAAGTGATCAATGATTCAGAGAGTGATTAATATATTTGGAAATACACTCTTTCTGATTGCGTAAAAATTGTTGCGTAACACAGAAAATCACCTGATCCAAAATTAGTCTAAAAATATTACTAAATTACGAAAAATTAATTTTTATTCAAGATGTAACCAACTAATTGGTAAAAAGCAATACATATTCTAAAATTCGTGCATTCTCTAGTGAAACAAAAATTTTATTTTGAGTCGTTACCTTTGAGAAATAAGATGAACATTTCTGCAATGAATTTTCCAAACCACCCTGTTATAGCAAAATGGATGCGCACCTCTTCGCACCAATCTAAGTCTACTCACACTTTACCTACAAGTCCTTCTATATGACCTATATCAGCACAAATAGAAATCAACATATGAAACTGCGTTCAACGATGTATAATAAAAAATTTTCTTGAAGGCGATCTTCTGAGCAACAGAAATTACATGTTCATCTCCCATGTGAAAAATGCAATTTTTTATCTTGATGTCCTTTAAAATAAAAAGAAACATGGCCTACTCGTTCTTGTGCTTCGACATCACCACTTGATAAAAATTAAGACATTTTATCAATCGTTAATGAAAGAAGTTGTTGAATTAATGTTTCATCATTATTCGATGATTGAATTAAATATATAATAATTTTCAAAATATTTTGATAGTAAACAGATTGAATATGTTCAGGAAATAGAGTTATTCTTGTATTAAGCATTGATTCAAGAATTTTTTGTGGCTCTTTTAAATAACTATAGAGAAAAGTAAAACAAGAATTCTTTCAATAAATTTTTTTTCCCATTATTAACTTACGAACAAAATTCACCACAAATCCATGCAGCAGCATATAAAACTTCGGGGACAGTTGTAGAATTTGAATCATGAATAAAAACATAATCATTTTCAAGAAGAATTGCCTGAAAGAATAGAAATAAAAAAATTTTTTCGTGATTTTATTTTTGACAAATTTCTATCATTTGATTACAAGCAAATAAACGAATAGATTCAACACGAACAGCAACATCAAGCATTTGTAAAGATATGAGATTATCATGTTTTGTACCTTCAAGACGAGTTAATTCGACCAATATACTAATCCTATTTTAATAAATAATGTTTTTTTTTATTAATAAAAATTAAAAAAATAAATGTAAACCAATGCAAAATTAGGTATATGTTGATAATCATTTTGACTACATATTTCAATTATTTTTGAAAGTAATTTATCTCGATAATGTGATTCTTCAGATTTATTCATATGAACCATTAATTTATGTACGATATCCATCAGAGTTTTCTTGTTACCTGAACAAAAAAAAAGAATTCATAATCAAAATTAAATTTATTCAAATATTGAATGATCAGATTTTTTTTATTAATAGTTTTTCTCCATCGAATTATCATATCATTTCAAACAAAAGTTCAATTAATTAAAGAGATCAGTTATTCATGTTTCACTCTACTTGTTTAAAAGAATTTCGAGAATTGATCTAATCAGGCTAATGATTTCGGCAGGAAAATGATAAGAACTTGGAAGAAGGAATCCGATCGCCGGATTCCTTCTTTCAAGTTCCTACCGTTTTCTCGAGCTTTTTGGCCGGAAACAGTTCGTACTTCTAGACCTAAGTTGAAATTACTAGATTTTTTTAAATGTTTCATTGATAAATAATTTTTTGTGGTTCAAAAACAGATAAAAAATATAGTAAAATAATTACGAATGAAAATCATAGACTAATAAACATAAATCATATTAAACTTTGTTTTTGAGACACATCTAAATAATACAAAGAATTTACAAAAAAATTAAATCGACTAAAACTACAATAGTCATTGGAAATAAATAAGAGTTTGTAACGATCATTGTTTCATATCAATTCATAACACTTTTTATATAGGAAAGCTGTCCTAAAGCACAATTTCTATGTAACGAAATAAGAGCTGATGCTGACTGGAAAATTGTAAGCACTTGGAAGCAGAAATTCAGCGGCTGGCTCTGCCCGATTATGACCTGTTCTGATCGAAACTAGGAAAGTCCGACTATAGGATTCCTATTGTTTTCCCAAGTTTTCTGACCAAAAATCTATGGATCCAGGAGCTGACATCATTGATCTGGGAGATCGAGTAGATGAACATTATATAACCATCAGATAGAGATCTACCTTTCGTTGGCATAGTCTGTCTGTCACGAACTGTGTACTTTCTATCAACGTGACATTACTATGCAAAACATCTATTGACCTCATACAGAAGGTCACTGTCTGGCAAAGACAAAAAATAAAATATTAACATAATAATAAGAATGTTTTCAATGTATTTAACGAACTAATTAAAGAAGACATCAAAATCTGTTCTCTAATATGAATGTAAATCAAAAACAATTTCTAGCTCCTGACGTATGAAAATATTTGCAATTTCAAAGATATTTTTCTAAGCAATTATAATAACAGTATGATGCTAAAATATCCGTAGCTTCTCAAAAGAGATACTTTTTAAATAAGCACTTAGCTATTTAAGTACTTACATAGCTATTTAAGGTTTCCACAGCTATTTAACTAGTTGCATAGCTATTTAAGTATTTAGATAGCTATTGAAATCATTCATAGCTATGTATAGTAGCCTCAACAAGACTCATTTGACTGATGACTAATGATGCCAAAGTTCGATTTTGAGAACTTTCTGGTACATAATTAGCCATTGAAGTTTATGTAACACCAGTTGGCCGTCGGTGAACAATAGTTATATTTATAGAATCTTCTCAATATTGTATTCATCGAATACTATGCATAAGATATCCTACAACATAACACAAAACTGTAACAAAAAATAATTCCTGCTATATATATATAAGAATCAAATCCGCGAAATGTACTCATAATAAATAATGGGATCTTATTCTAATAGATATCATTGTAATAAAAATCATATTCAATATCTTTAACTAATGCAGTAGCTGCAGAATCTCTTTCTCAAAACCCTCGACATACACAGATGAGTACGATCAATTTCGACAAGTTATCAACCTTTCTAAAATACTGCTGTGTATCTACGAGTACTGCAGCTGAAAAAAGTTGAGGAGCCACATGCAGCTATCCTAATGTTTGTTTTTCTCCCCAACCCCCTGCTCGTACAGATAAGTAACATAGACAAAATCCTTTATGCTCAGTTCAACGGCAATAACAACTTATTTACTACTACTACTAATCATTAAATACTGCTTCGATTTCAACAACTAACTATGCGGATATTTAAAAAACTCGAATCTTAAATAGACACAACAGAACCATTCGAATAGCTATACCACAATTTAAGTAGCCATGTCGACAGTTAAATAGTTCTGAAAAAATTGAATACTTATGCATGTACTTAAATACCGATGTAAATACTTAAACACCTATGGAAAACTTAAATAGAGATTCAGATACTTAAATAGCTATGGAAATACTTAGATAGCTATGGAAATGCGTAAATAGCCATGGAAAATTTGAAGAGCTATGAAAAGCTTAAATAGCTATGAAAATACTTAAATAGCTATGAAAGAGTTAAATAGCTACATAAATACTTAAATAGCTATGCAAATACTTAAATAGCTATGAAAGAGTTAAATAGCTACATAAATACTTAAATAGCTATGGAAATACTAAAATAGCTATGAGAAACTTAAATAGCTATGCAAATAGTTAAATAGCTGTAGCTGCATTAGAAAGCTGGAAAGTTTTCACAGTCACTTGTGTTAGACAAAAATTGTAGTATTAGATTAAATTTCGATTGTTGATAGATGATGAATAATACTTCCTTGATGACAGAGGCACAAAAGAGTGCAGTAAGTGGTGTTTGTTCAGCTGGTTTGAGAATAACTACATTGCCTATTTGTTATTGCAATATATAAGAAAATGTAAATTAATAGAAGTAATGAAGTCACCACAAACTAATGCTGATCCAAGTTTCAAGGCCAACATAACAGTCTAAAATATAATGGCAACAATACTTTTGTATGATACATATGTAAGATAGAATATCGTACTGAATAATCACTGAAAGAAGAAAGTACAATTTGAATTTTCATTTATTGAATGTTTGAACTGACCATAAAATGATTTGTTCATAGATCCCAACTGATTCATGTTTAATATAGGTAATAAAAATACCTGATTCTGATGAAAGTGTTTCACCAGTGATTTTATCAGCCCATCCAGCATCTGTAACATGTGAATATCATCGATAATAAAAAAAAGAGAATGACAGAGAGGCTTACAATAATCAAGACAAACAGCTGCTCCAAGAATCTCGCAATAACTCTCTTGTAGCAGTTTTTCACTACTCAGTGTTTCTAATTTCTGAATATTCATTTATGATGTAGATGCAAACAAACAGAGTGAACATTTTTACTGCTAAATAACCCACAACATGTAGAAGTAAATCAGCAAGTTTACAAATTAACTGAGCACGTGCAGCAGGATCAGACTTACGCCATGGTGAATCATATTGGAAACCTTTTTCAGCAGCTTCAATTGCTTTATCAGGATCACTCTACAATATTGGAAACAATAAAAATTACGCGTAGAACGAAAATAATCATGTATATATATATTGATACTTTTGTATCTTCTTCTACTTGACAAATTTTTTCATCTGTACTTGGATTAATGATAGAGAACGGATTCATTTTTGTCTACATGATTGACCTTGATTTATCACATAAGAAGAAAAGAAAGAATGGACATATATTAGCTCGTTCCTTTATCCACTTATACTCATTGCTGTTTCAGTTGCAGATGATGTCTTCAATCTTAATGAATGATTCAACTTATGAAATCGATTTGGTTAAGAGAAAACAAAAATTTGATAAGGTGGCACACCTGAGTATTGTAACAAGTCTTCATATCAATGTGGTATTTTTAAAAACTTGTCTTAGCGATTGAACTTTGCGACAAGCGAAGAACAATCTTTCTAATAATATATGTATTTGATATTTCACTTCACTATAAAACTATTTTACTAACAGGTGCAAATCAGATCGTTCTTAGTATATGCAAAATCATATTCTTTTGATGTGACTCTATTACTAAAGATCTTATCAGTTCGTTTAATGTGAAACACTCAATATATGAAGGAAGATTTTCAGAACGAAATTGCCACGATGGAAGGAAGGAAGTTTTAGAATAGCGAAGGTTTCAAGTGAATAGAACTAATTTTCATAACTGTACGCTGGATTTCGAAAGCGTTGTCAATAACAGGCTAAAGCATTCTCTTCATCAATATCATATATCTACTTATGTGATTTCAGTTAACAAATTAACATTTTTTACAAGAAAATTATTGTTACTGTTCAAAACTGATGTCACTTAGATGATAGAGAACAGGAACAATCAAAAAATTTATTATATATAAAAACTTCTTTAGATCCACTATATATATAATCAATAAGCAATGTTTTACGATAGCAGAAAAGAATCGATCATACTTTTCCTTCTTCAATAATCAATTTGTTTCTTTGTATTGTATTTTGTTTAAAATCTTTTCAACAATAAAATTTTAAATGTTATCAATTATGTATCTTAAATTGAAACTAGATTATGATCATTCATACGAGTTATTACCGCAATTAGGAGTTGTTTCAACTGATTGCTCGTAGTATTCTATTCTTTGCACTTAAACATTTTATTTAAATTAGTTGTACGTATTAGTGAGACTTTCGCAATACATGGAAGAGCTTAGAGAGCAAACTACATAAATGTTAGAAAGTTAAACAAGCAAATCCAAATAGCTGTTCTTCATGAAAAATTTGTATTGTTTTTCCTCAAACAAGTTTAACAACAACTGTTTTTACTTTATAGTATGCTTCGAGACCATATCAACCTAATTCCTTTTCCTGACCTGATTGTTTAAAGCCACCAAATAGTGCTTGATTACATATAGTCTTATAAGTATTTATCCAAACAGGGCCAGATCATATTTGGTGAGCCAACGTAAGACCACGTCTTACTGAAAAACTAGAATAATCATCAATAATCATTTCTTTCAAATTTAATGTATCTAGTTATCACTCCAGCACCAACTCCAAAAGTGGTGTCGTTTGCTCGTTTGATAACTTCTTCGTACGAATCATACTTTAAGACTGACATTACTGGACCAAATATCTAAACTTTTATATTATTATAGAATCCAATCAAAAAAAAATATTATACCTCTTCATGAGCAATTTGCATATCATCTTTTACATCACTAAAAATAGTTGCTTTGATAAAATAATCTTTATTATCAATTCGTTCACCACCACATTCTAATTTATCTCCAAACTTGTAATCTGATTCTATAAAATCCAAAATCTATTGGAATTGAATATCATTTATCTATCATACACAAGTAAAGGGAACTTTTCTTTAGATTAAAAAGGTTATTACTTGTGATCCTTGTTCAGTATTAGAATCAATTTGATTATTTGAAAGTCTTATAGAATACTCATCCTCATCCTCCAATGATCAAAGGAGATTTTTCACCGATATGTGAAAAGAGACTAGCTCAGATGAAAATTATTTGGTATTTGTTACTGACCAAGTTCAAATGTAACACATTTAAGATTTGATTTAGTTGCTGCTTCTTGTATTTTCTTTCCAATCTTCAATCAAACATTTCATATTCATTTTTTTTAGTTTTATTAGTGAATGTTTTTACTTCAACTGAACTAGTACAAGCTGCTTTATCAATATGTGCATGAACAGCAATTGCATAACCACATTCAGGCCCATCACCTAAATATTCTTATGAAATTATTATGAGAAATATCATTCACTTTACCTGGTATGATGTTGACACCATCTGATGGAAAGCCAGCCTAGATCATCATGACAACAACAAAGTATAATCGACATCATAGTATCTTACCTCTTTGATAAGAGCAGCATAATAAAGCGCACTAAGTAGTGTTTGTTTAGTTGGTTTCAGTGCAATTAACTGAGAAAAATATTTCACCTTTAGTCTGTTCTACTAGTTTACCATTGTTAAGTGTTTCCACTTTCTACATATTGACTTATGTTGAGAGAAAGAAAGAGGGTCTAATTTATGCTATGGTGATTTAATATCAAAAGCTGCTTGAGCACCTTCAACTGCTTTATCAACATCAGCCTGAAAATCACAATAGATAATGAACCAATGAAGAACATATAGAGATTCATACTCTAATGCCTTCTTCTACTTGACAGATTTCTTCTCCTGTACTTGGATTGATGAGAGAAAATGTTTTTCCATTTGTTGCTTTATGCCATTCATTGTTGATAAAGATTTGAGTATATTTAACTTCAACATTCGAAACTATTCAATTAGCCGATGACATCTAAAAAATAAGAGAAAAGACTTGAACAAAAAAAAGGTGTTTTGGTCGACAACAAGTATGATAATGATAGTGTCATTGTCATTTATCTAAGCAAATATACACTTATATATCCCGCTTGCTCTCTTTCATACGTGCACAAACATATGCCCACTTTTTGTTTTTTCTCTTATTTTCTTAGGACGAAAGAGCACAGACGCTAGATAAAAGAAAAAGTAGATTTTCTTCTTGCCAATATAAAAATGTAGGTTGCATCAATGACAGAACACAAACAAAATATAACGTACAAAATCATGTTTTTGTCAACAAAGAAAACCAGCAGTACATAAACAGTCATGATTTTGAATAGAGAAAGAAAATCTTAGAGAAACGCTGAAACTTCTCTGATACCAATTAGTCATTTCGTCACATGATGATTTTTCCAATCGATCAGGACAAGATCCCATAGAGTTGATTAACATCAGTTTCCTCTCTGTTTCTCCCAGCGATTATCTGATCATTAGACCTTTTGGTTACAAGACGTTTCTCAATATGAGAAACAATACAACGATTTTTTATTCTCTATTGTCAGTTCGAAACATTAGATAGTTATCGAGAAAATCCTAATCAATCTTTTATTTATCGAAGTTGATTCAATGACTTTTCAAGGTTTATCTGATCAATCACAAATTAAAATATTCGCTGATATTTCTATTCAAATTTACTAGATAAAGATCCAATCTCTAATGAAGAGTAATCTCATATCTGAACTAAAGATAATCTTTTCCTTTTAGTTGATTTAATTTACGGTCTATCGACATATGAAGAGTTCTTCTTAGAAAAGTAAAAGTCTAGGCCATCTGAATAAGATATTCAATGAACATAGGTTATAAATTGAAGAGTCAAATAGTTTCTCCATTCTTCTTAAAAAAAAGACTTTATTTCAGTTATTTCTTCAATGAATAAAAAAAATCAATCTGTTCTGTTTATTGTTTTGATATTAATCAAATCAAATGCAATAACATTTGCTAGAAAAAAAAACTAATAAATATCGAAATAATTCAATCACCCAAGCAAAGTGAGAGAAAAAAAGATGTTTATATATGAATGTCAAAAAGAGATTACTAGAGGAAACGAATGTTTATTATGAATTCAATTTTATTATTCCAATGAAAAAATATATCGAACTAACTAACAATTTGATTTATTATTTGTTTTTGGTTGAAAATTTTCCTTACTTTTATGTTTTCAGGAGAAGAAAGCAAAGAAATAGGGACATTCAAAGAGTTATTATTTTACCATGCATCTTAGTTGATATTGCAACACCATTATTTGATATCACTAATGGTATATTTATTATTTAATTTTCTACATCAATTTCGAAAGACTTCTAGCAAATGCTCTGTATTAGCTGATAAGAATTGTCTCAATGGCTATCGATGTTACATTGCCAAGGTCATTCATTGTAGACACATTTTCTTAATAATCGGCATGATGGCGTACAAACTTTTCTGCTGTTGTTTTTCCCATGATGGCTAACTGTCCAACAGTACAAAATAAGACAAATTCTTGATGGGGATTGACTTTTGCTATCGAGTAAAATGAAAATGTTATTTCCTGTTTAAAATGTAGAATATTAGACGAACAAAAAAATCATTATTGACTCAGACAAACTTATTGCGAAAGCGAAAATTTGTTAGTGATTGTTTTTTTTTGATAAATGATGTGCTTTCTCCTGAAACATGTTTCAATCAAGTGAAATGAAAATAAGCTACTTCTTTCGAAATTTCTTACTTAAATCTTATGATGGATTGTAACAAAAATAAGAAGTATTCTCTTTAGATATTTGAAATGATTCGATCATATTCCACATTTTAATCTCGCACGAATTGTGCTCAAAGTTTTTTTTTTGTCTGATTCGTGTCATTTCCACATAAAATGATAATAGATTTAAGAAAAGCTCATGACAATTCAACTTTATTTATCTTTTCATTTTTTAGTTGTAAAAGTAAAAAGTTTACAAAAATACTTATTTCTATCTCTTATTCTGCCGAAAAAGGTTAATTGTGCAACAGAATATTACGATAGTTGAGTACTAGAAAAGGGCTCATGTGATTCTCACATAGTGCTAATATATGATTAAATACACTTTTATCTCCTGTTCTCAAGTGTGAAACTCTTTGGTTTGTATCAAAACTGATTCGAAAAATAATCATTCTTCTTCTGAGTTGAAACGAAAAATAATTTTGCTTTCCAAAAGCTAATTTTTTGGAGAAAGAACGATTGAAATCAATACATCTTATGTAGAAAAAATTTTGATTTTTGTATAGATATTGATATAGGATTGAGTTTTTTTCAAGACTTATTTGGCATGATAAAATTTACAGGTAGTCAAAGCATTGGTGCTGATGTATATTTTTTATATGCAAAATATGCGAGACTAAAAACATTTTGACGTGTCGAATATTTCAACATATAAACAAAAATGTTTCATCAATATGATCTATCGCAAACAATATGTTAGTGATGAATACCATTTGAACGAATTTCGATTATCAGATAATTAAAATCAAAATATTCAATGGCAAGCAAAGAATAGAAAAGCAAAAACAATGAGAAAATATATATTAATGATATATTTGAGAACGAATTAGAGTCCCACTGAAGCAGAATAAATATAAGATAAAAACAAAGTTCCAACGTACAAAAATTTCTTCGAAGACAATTTTTATATGATTGTATTTGTATTTTTCTTTTTATTGATAAGGAGATTATTACTATAAAATTTAAAACGCTATTCAGAAATTCGAGTGATCTGAACCGGCTTTTCGCTCAATGAAATTAAAAATGATCATCTCGATAAAGATCGATTAGTTTTTCGTACTCAATTATAACTTATTATTCTCAAAGATATCATTGAACTGTCGTATAAAACCTGAAACCATCTCATTTCACTCTCATATATGATGAAATATCTTTAGAGCAAAAACTTTGAGATGAGAAATGCATCACTGACGATGAACGATAATAGAATTGAAATTATGCAATTGATAGATAGTTCAATTGATCAATCAATAAAACTACATAATCGATTTAGCTCCAATCGATAGTGGATTTCACTTTCAGATTTTTCAAAATTGTTTCGTATGTGTAAAGTTCGTATCGTTTCGAAGGCAATATCATGTAGTAAGCCAGCTAATATAGAGAGATCTTGACGCGAAAGTGAACGTAAATGAGGCATATGTTCAATGAGATCGAGAAATGTAGTTGATATAAGATTGGTGTCGGTTTCTTCTATATTGAATACGAGTGATGTAATATTGATAAAACGTTAAATGATTGGATGATGTACATATTGGTGACCAATAAATATTCGGACATACGAAAATATTTGATGTAAAACGAGGTACCATAAAGATATTTCGCGAATATGGACCATCATAGGCAAGAAATCAGCGTTTTTGTTCAAGTCAGAATAATGAACAAAATGAATCACGAATATTTTCTTCGGAAAAATCTGGTAATGAACATGGAAGATGCAATCGAAAGTTGAATATAATCAAATGTGAAACAAGTAATTCCCATTTTTGGCCATCAATAAGATCTAGATAACCTTGTGCAATAAGTTTGAAATAATATAGATTAGGTATTTTAGATAAAAATTGTTCTACATGGATCATGGTCTCTTTTTACCTTAATTTTAAAAAACAAAGAATATATATATACAATTTTCAAATAACTATACACACCATGAATGTTTAGGATGAGCCATCTTAGATGGAGCAATAATGATATGTTATCCATCCACTTTGGATAATTGTCATATGAAAGTTTGACATCAAGTGAACAAAGATTAGGAATTTGATTTAATGTAAGTGATAAGCCCCAGCAAAAGAAACTTTGAAGAGTTAAATGACGTAAATGAGGCAATGAAACCAAAACGAGATTATGAGCATGGGGTACTGCTAGTCAATTCACTCAAGAAATTAAGTTATATATAGCAGTGTATGTCTGTGTTTATTATCACTAATCGTAGTCATATCGAATGATTGAAGATGAATGAATTGTTCGAGTTTAAAATGAGAAAAGAACAGGTTTGATTGATTTGATGTATCATTGTCATGGGACAATATAATAGAAATGACTTGATGTGGCCATATATGTTGGCAAAGAAGATCAAATTTCGATTTAAGAACAGAATAAAAGTTGAGCGAAGAGTGACAATAGCCAGCTAATATAGAATCCGGGTAATCACTTAGGCTAGAAAATGAATAGTAGATATCATGTACGCAAAGATAATCAAAAATATCATGAAATAGTTCAATAGGCAACCGATCTATTCGACTCAAAGACATTGTATAATAAAAAATATCATGTGAGATAACTGATTTCTTATTGCTCGTTCATGATGTAATAATATAACACACTGCTGTTTTTCTTGTTTCATTCTTTAGTCGATACTATTTGCAAACGTTGTTCTTTCGGATATGAAACACATGTCGAGATGCAAATGAGATTGACAAATCAAAGGTTTCGAATAAAATGAGCAAACATGTCTTTCAATGGTCATATATCTCTTCTGCATCTTTAGTCTTTACGTACTTTAATCATTGCCATTTTTTTTCTTTATTTACAACATTTAGTACGAGTCACTGCTTTTCATTTTTAAGCCGCTTGTTTTTCTTTTTAA